CTATTTGGATCTCCCCAAAACCCCAAAACCCCTAGAAGAAAAATAAGTAATTTGGAGAGAAATTAGGAGAGTCATAAAATTATTCATGATTTACAAAAAAAATTAGGCTTTATTAATAAGCATCGAGCTTCATTAATCAATCGATTATTCCTTAATCTTATTATTTATTGTTTATTTCTCTAAACCCAAATCTTAGAAATCAAATGTAGTAGACTTTAGCCGCACCCCCAATGGTTCTTTAGGAAGAAAGACATACCAAAGAGGCCATATCTTATAAAGTTAAGTTACCACCCACTAACATCTCACCTACTTAAAAGGAACTCGAGGTCAAGAAAAGACTCGAGCTTAGTGCTAAAAAAGCTGCACAAGGACCAATGATTACAATTGAGGAAATATCGATGAAGCTGAAGAGAGCAGAGGAAAAGAGAAAAATCTCACTTACAAACCAAATCTCGCCTAAGACTGAGGAAAGGAGACTCAGTGCTTGGGAAAACAAGAAATACTACGAGAAGTAGTAACTTGAACACTTTAAAGACAAATTTGAAAAAGTATTACCATCAGCAGAAGAAAAGAGAAGAGCAACTAGGGAGAGTAAACGCCAAAAACTTAGACAACACATTAAGAAAGTTGAAGAGATCAGAAGAGAGTAAGCTAGTAAGAGACAAGAGACTAGCGAGCTTATGAAGACTGAATTGGACCATAAATTGCAACATGCTGATCAAATTCATCAGTAGACCCTAGAGAATAAAATCAACAAGGCCTAGTACTCAGCAGAGAAAAAGAAGAAATCCGGTGGAATGTTCACTCAAGAAGGTGGATAATCTTAAGTTTCTCATGATGATATTCCACTTCCTCACAGACATGAAGATCTTAACCAAAAGCTCTAGCAATACAAATGAGATGGTCTAAGTGATTGGTCTCACAATATATTAGGCCAATTGATTGACCAAGCTAAATGTTTGTTTTATCTAGTGTGTTTGAATGAGTGATGAATTTAATATCATTTATTCAGTTTTCCTTTATTAAACCTTTAAATTCTAGACTTTAATTCAGTAATTTCATCCTTGGGGTTTTGGGGTTTTGGGGTTTTGGGG